CCCACAGTTACCCCCACTGTAAACAAGTGCCTCAGCATCTGGTGACCAGCCCCTCCCCCCCATCTTTCCCTGGCTGGATTGTGCCCGTGCGTGGTGCTGGGTCGCAGGTAGTGACCATCGCGGCATGATCCTGACCCCCAGGACCTAATTATTATTAATTTGTAAAGCCCCTCTGGATCCCTGGCTAGGAGGGGCGAGAGGTCAGACTCGTCCATCCCTGCCTGTGTTTGGGTTGGTCTCGATGCTCCGATTCTTTTCTCTTTCCTTTCAAACGGGAAACACTTGCGATGAAAACCCTGCTGCTCCAGTCAGTCGGGTTGGATTCCCGGCAGGCCTCTTGCTAGCCAGACCTGCCGTGTGCTGGAGAGGGAATGAATATCGTTTTAACGCTGAAGAAGTTGTTCTTTCCCCCATTATTGTTGCTTGTCCATCTTTCGGAGATGGGACCGTCTTCCGGGGAGTTGATTTGTCAGCGCCATGAGTTAACTCTTGGCATCAGACTTCTCGTTCGTACAAGTCCCCTGGTACAGGAAGCAGTGCGGGGTTGCCAGAAAGGCTGGGGGCTGTGTTGGTCTCAGGACTGCAGCAATGCATTTGTACATCGCATAGGATGCCCTGTGGTCCTGCTCACCATGGAAAGGGAGCACCAGAGGAACCCCATTGGGTTATGTGGGCAGAGAGACTCAGAAAGCAGGGAGGTTTGAGCAAGAGGAGGAATATAATAATGTAGAGTGGGGCCTAGCTGTTAGAGCAATAGGACAGCGAAACAGGCTGCCTAGGTGAGCTGCAGTCTCCTTCCTTCGAGGTTTCGAGGAAGCGGCTGGGTTTTCATCTGTTTGGGATCCAGCATCTGGACGGGGCGTTGGGACTAAGCCCATGATTGTCCACGAGAATACCACGGCACCCTGAGGGCCCTTGAAATCCTTGGTGCTGCGTAATGTCAGTACAGCTAGGTGTGCAAAGGTAAACCCAGAGATTTCAAATAGGAATCCAGTGTGTCAAAAGCATGCAGACCTATTGGTGGCCTTTTTGAGCTGTTTGTTACAAGAATTGCTCCATTATTTTTCGGCAGTCGGAAAACAAGCGAAAACTAAGAGCTGGCTTTTTCTCAGGGTTATCTTGAGTTTAATGAGGGGACCTGGAGTCTAAACAGGATGAGAACTACTGGACTAGACAATATGCAAAGCCCCTTCCAGGCTGACTTTGAGGCAGGGAAGCTGGTAGGGGGCTTCAAGCTGTTGTGAATTTTATGGGGAATTTTAAGAGTAGTTAAGGGGTGGAAAAAAACCTTAATTGATTTGTAACTCTCGTTTTACACTAGTTTATCTCCGTAATCATGTGATCTTGTTCGTACCCTAATCTTCCCACATGTACCTCTTTCCTTCCTGTTGTGTTAAATTACACCCTGATCCTGCAGCTGATCCTATGCTGGCAGAGCCTTGTACCCCCTCACAGTCAGTTATGTGGCTAGAGCCTCAGGCTGCAAACACTGTGGGGCAGGGAGCCTCTTATAGCGTGTGCAGCACCTGGCACAGTGCGCCCCCAGCCTTGATTAAGCCCTTTGTGCACTACTGGAATATAAAAATGATCTCTCCTAGCGCAGTGCATTGAGCTGAAGCCTTGAAAGAGCTCTGTGTGTGTGTGTAGGCCTCTAAGGAAGATATGTCGAGTTAGAGGATGGATATATGACCGGGGTGGGCAGTTATTTTGGCTGGGAGAGCCACTTAATGAGTTTTTTGTGTCCTTTCAAGGGCCACGGTTCCCCCTCTCTCCCTCCCCCAGAAACCTGTCCAGAGCTGTAGCACACCTCGATCCCCACCCTCACCTGGAACCTGCCCATTGTATCTGCAGCTTATGCCATCACCCACCCAGCACGGCAGAGGCAGACGCGGGCAGATGCTGGCATCAGCTGTGGATGCGGCCAGCAGATTCCAGGTGCAGACTGGGGTGTCTGCCTGGGTCCATAGCTGATGCTGTTGTGTCAGTGTTAGATGAAAGCAGTCTCGTCTGCCTGATACCTCTTGGTAGCCAGAGCCGGGGCTGCCTGGAGGCTGGATCCCATGGGTTGGCGGCTGCCCGCTCACAAGCCAGATACCATCAGTTGGTGGACTGGATCCAGCCTGCGGGCCGTATTTTGCGCACCCCTGATATAGACCTAGGTATCGCTGTAACTGACCCCTATAAGTATTTCCAAAATACTTTGTCTGTGTGCCAGTGACGTGTCTAAGTGGACGTGGGAGGGAGTAAGGTGTTTCCTTGTTGCATGCATGTATCGTATTGCTCTGGAGGAATCGCTTATGCTACGATATGCTTCCTTTCCGCATGCTGATGCAGTTCCCCAAAACGCCCGTGGTGCTTATCGCTGAGGGATGGGTACACAGGATGTGGCTACCGCCCTTCTGTTAAAGGGATGAATCTGGCTTCTAGAGACTGGTAGTTCTTGTGTGCTGCCCTTATCTGAAGAAGCACTGTGCAGAGTTCATAGATACGAATGAGCTGGTGGCTGCTGGTTCCTGCCATGCTGGTAAAAGTCGTTGGTGAGACAGTCTGAGCATCCTTAGTGTTGTATGCTCATCCACTGCCTTTCCTCCACACCCGCCTGGCTGGTCAGTGCATAAATTGGTACTGAGAGAGGAAAAGAGTGCAAAATGGTTTCTCTTTTTGCACCCTGTGGATGCTCTCCCATCTTGGACTCGTTCATTCTAAACGCGGGGGTTTCTTAATGGCTCACAGGAGTCTAGTCTTTATTTTGATCCATTTAGTTTGCAAAGTGGCTAATGAAGTCTAAACACAGTCACTAAATAAAACACAAAACACAAGCACTGCAGACCTAGTTTTCTCAGTCTTGAAGGATTCCTCTGAACTGTGCAACCTCCTCCTTTGTGGAAGGCAACTTTTCTAAGAGGTCTCAGATTAGTTGAAGCCTGCAAAGTCCATTCAGTCAGGTAATTTCTTCCCTCTTACTGCTGCCCCCGTTCTGTGTAGAAGCCGCTTCATCGGAGCCTTCTTGCTGTGTGCTGTCTGCCATTCAACAGTCCTCATGAAGGCAAACCCAACCAAGCCTGTTACCAGCTCAAATGGGCCTTGTGAATACACCCTTGACACCAGACAGTTTAGTCTAGGTGTGCACTTTTTCAAACACTGTGTTATTTGTGTGCTGTCTGTATGCAGCCATTAAATCAGTCCTAAATATAGGAAGTCCGTTGGCTGAGGTCAGGCCCCTTGGCGGTGCGTGAGCGTAGGCAAGGTGTTACAAAAAGAGACACCGGCTGATTCAGGAACCCGGTATAATTACAAAGGTTGAGTCAGGCACCAATTTGGGTTTCCTCAAATAGCCTATGAACAGATAAAAATACCAAGGAAATATTTAAAAAAAATACTTCCCAGTTTGTTTGTTTGACTGCCAACAGCAAATGTGGGAAACGGGTCTTCCCACCAGCCTTTTGTCATTTAACTTCCAGGGCCCTGGCTACTCTGTAGTTGCTGTCATGGAAGCTGGCAGTGCGGTGCTGAAGATGGGCCCTGGGCATGCAAGCACCATCCCTGCATCCCTAACCCTTCCAAACACGGGCACTTGGTGCAGGAGGGAGTTATTTTGGGACTGCTGGGCTCCATTTTCAGGGATACAGTTTTGTTGCTATGACAGTAGCAAGCACTCTGTGTCCTTGGAGAAATCAATGTGGAAAGGCCTGTTTTCCCCAGGACATGGAGCCCTTGCACTCTTCGCTCAGCCGGGAAGGGAGGGCCCTATCTCACTAAGCATCCAGAGCGATAGAAGCAGACTTGTGTGGGCAGTTCTACACTGAAATAGTTCCTCTTGCAGGTGGTCTTTATTGCAATTGAAGGGATGGAGTATTTGCTTCTTTTCATCCTTGTTAGCTAATCATAGAAAATTAGGGTTGAAAGGGACCTACCTTCTAAGAGCTCACATCTAGTTCAACCTCCTGCTCAAAACAGGACCAGCCCCAACACACCTCTGCTTCAGTAGGACATGTGCTGGAAATGAGAAAGCCAGGACCTAAGGTCCAGACTTCAGAAAATAGTTTCTGATTTATTTATTTTTTTGTGGGGGAACACCAATTTTTGCATAGCTCATTGTGAGACACTTGGGCTAGACTTCCCAAAATGCCGAGTGCCTGTAGACTCTCAGAAGCCTAGGCAATGAGGACTCAGTGCAAAAACAGAATAAGCAGTTCATAAATATACTTCTTTACCAGACTTCAGTTTTAATGTCCACCATCACGTGCTGGTGTCTAAAAGCGCTGGTTCTTGAGGATTGTCTTTCCCCCAGCAGCCTCTTCAGCCTCTGCAGTGTACCTGAAATAGCTCCTGCTGTTCCCCAGCCTGCTTTGTTTTGCAAGGCTCTGGCTGTTGGATTGCTAATCAATATAGCTCTGGTCGTTAACTTCACCCGTTGGCAGGCTAGTTCAGCCAGCTTCAGAGAGAAACTCTGAGGAATTGTTAGAAGTTGGCCAAGCTCGGTTCTGTGAACCTTCCACGCTCTGGCTTAGAGCCCGTCACAGCTATTTATAGACTCGAAAGGGAAGCCAAGCTTTGAGGACAGCTTCTGATTTGAGTACCAGTTGGATCTTGGACTGGCCTGAAACAGAACCATCTCCTGGGAGATGCAGAAGAGTACTGATGAGGCAATCCCTGTCTTGCAGGTCATCCGGTGCTAGCTACTTTATCATTGTCCCCGTTCGGCTCATCTAAAATCTGCCTGTGGTTTCAGACTTTGGCATTATTCTTCATTCTCCATTGAGAAATGCTGCTCAGAGGCAGCTGCTGTATTGTTGAAGGTGCATATGAACTGTAGGCTCTATCGGGGTAGGGGAAAGGTAGAACCAACAGCTTGATGTTCACGTTGCTGTGTCACTTCTTGGTGTCTGTGACTGAGATTCCTGTTCTGAAGAGCACCTTGCTGGTGCACGTTGGTTGCTTACAGGCTTCTCTAATTGCCCCCAGCAGAGAAATGTTGAATGAACTGAATTTTTCTTTATTGGCAGTCTGTAGCTGCAGGCTGGTGTAGGCCCCATTGGACTCTTTAGCTGTGACGTCTGTGAAAACTTGGCAGTGGTGAGGCTGTGGGGTGCTGAGACCACTGCTGATCCACTCTGCATCCTTTTGCTGGCTTCTTGTGCTCTTTAATTATAAGCTCTGTGGGGCAGGGCCTAACCTGTGTTTGCACTTAACTAGCACAGCAGAAGCCTGGTTCATGGTAAGGCTGGAATAAACATATTTCTGCCCTGCAGAAAAGGACCTGGGGGTGACAGTGGACAGGAAGCTGAATAGGAGCCAGCAGTGTGCCCTTGTTGCCAAGAAGGCAAATGGCAGCTTGGGCTGCATTGGCAGGGGCGTTTCCAGTAGGTCAAGGGAAGTCATTCTTCCCCTCTATTCAGCACTGGGGAGGCCACATCTGGAGTCCTGTGTCCAGTTTTGGGCCCCCCACTACAGAAAGGGTGTGGATAAATTGGAGACCGTCCATAAGAGGGCAGTGAAAATGGTTGGGGAGCTGGGGGTCATGACGTGTGAGAAGAGGCCATGGGAACTGGGCTGCTTTAGTCTGGAGAAGAGAAGACTAAGGGGGGATTTGATAGCAGCCTTCAACTCCTTGCAGGGGGGCTGCAAAGAGGATGGAGCTGGGCTGTTCTCAGTGGGGGCAGACGACAGGACAAGCAACAATGGGCTCAAGTTGCAGCAAGGGAAGTTGAGGGTGGATATTAGGGAAAACTTTTTGATGAGGAGGGCGGTGAAACCCTGGAACAGGGTCCCCAGAGAGGCGGTGGAGTCTCCATTCTTTGAGTTTTTGAAGACTCGGGTAGACAAAGCCTTGGCTGGGATGATGTAGTTGGTGCTGGTCCTGCTTTGAACAGGAGGTTGGACTAGATGTGACCTCCTGACGTCCCTTCCCACCCTCTTTTTCTCTGATTTCTATGATTCTATAAATTCCCATTTATACATAAATGAAGCTGGAGTCAAACATACAACATGTATCTGTTGTTCTGCTCCTCCGGCCACAGGGATGTTATTCTTCTGCAGCCTACAGCATGTTTGGACCATTTAAATAAAATCATGGGCAGCTTTTAAGTAAGGTTCAAAACCAAACAAGAAATTGGCCCTTCTTCTCTTCACGCCTTAAGGTTGTGATTAAGTGCTGTCCTGAGCAGAGATGCTTTCCTAACTGGGGGCATAAAAAGGGATGGGTGTTTGAACTGTGTCAGGCTGTGGGAGGGGAGCTGCATCTTGTGTTATTCAAAATGGTGGGGGGCAACCTGTGGTATGAGTGCCAGAAGTGGGACTGGCAGCCTCTGTGTGTGGCATGTGGCAGCCTGGGCAGCAGATATGGCAGAAAGCAGAGCAGGACATAAGGCAGGGAGCAGAAGCAGAGCAGCAGACAGGGCAGAGGGAGGGGATCTAAGTGGCATTTGGTGGTGATGTGGGACTAATTTGTGGCTGACCTGCCAAAAAGGTTGTACCCCTCTCCAATTTAGAGAACGCTGGAATCGCAGCAGCACTCCATGTTTTTCAGATTGAGCAGTGCCATCACCTAGCTCTTGTCTCTTCCTCCCTTCTCCATTAAACCGGGGAAGGGGGTGAAGTTAAAATCTGAACTGTTTTTTCCATCTACAAATCTGTTATCAAATAGTTTCATAGTTTCATAGTTTCAGGGTCGGAAGGGACCTAATAGATCTTCTAGCCCGACCCCCCGCCAGGGCGGGAGAACAACCCAAAAAAAACTCACCCTAAAAACAAAAACGGGACTCAAATGAGTCCAGCCAGGTAAGTATCCAGCCTCTTCTTAAAGACCCCCAGGGTAGGGGCCAGCACCACCTCCCTTGGAAGTTGGTTCCAGCTCCTAGCCGCCTTAACTGTGAAGTAGTTTTTCCGGATGTCCAATCTGTACCTGCTCTCCATCAACTTGTGCCCATTACTCCTTGTTATGCCAGCGGGGGCTAGGGGAAACAGCGTCTCCCCCAAACCCTTCTGGTTCCCCCTAGTGAGTTTATAGACGGTCACCAGGTCCCCCTCAGCCTTCTCTTGTGGAGGCTGAATAGGTTCAAGTCCCGCAGTCTCTCACTGTAGGGTCTGCCCTGTTGTCCCCGGATCATGCGGGTGGCCCTCCTCTGGACCCTCTCCATGTTGTCCACATCCCTCCTGAAATGCGGCGCACAGAACTGGACACAGTACTCCAGCTGCGGCCTGACCAGCGTCGCATAGAGGGGGAGGATCACCTCCCTGGCTCTACTCGAGATGCACCTGTGGATGCACGACAAGGTCCGGTTAGCCCTGCCAAATAAATGTGGCTTCTCTCATAGTCTGCCTCTCAGTAGTAGCCAGGAGACTCCTACTGTGCCAGGAGATTGTAGATGGGAATGCACTCCTCTTGATAGCATGAGCTACAATTTGTGGATTATGCAGCCTGGTTTCTCTCATAGCTGGGAAGCTCTTGGTGTTGCAGACTTTGACCTGTACAGGCAGGCAGGCAAGATGGGAACACAGCAGGGCTGAAACCCACAGCTCATTGTCTCTGGTTTGTTTTGCAGTTGGTGTATCCTTATGACTTCAGGCTGACGGAAAAAGAGGTAAGACTCATTTCTTTTGGCTGAAGCATTCTGGGCAGACATGGCAGCCTGGAGGTCTTACCCTCTGTGTTCTGATTCTTGCAGAAAACCAGCATTTGCTACTTATCCTTCCCGGACTCCTACTCAGGTAGGTAGCTTCTGTGGGTTCTGCCTGGAGGGTGCAGATGGTTCTTGTCTCTCGTGACAGACGTGAAGGTTTGTGTGGGAAAAAGTGAGTCAGTGTCTAATGCAGCAGCGAGACTGATAGGCTGCATCCTCCAAACAGTGACCTCAGAGAGCCTGCAGGCTGAGTGCTGTGCACAGAGGCTTCCTATTTTGCTCCTTATCTGAATACAGAACCTGTGATCTTGTGGGTCACCAGACCAGAGAGTTTCTCCATTAGCGTGTGCATGCTCATGGCTTACTGGGGCCAATCAAATAGTAAAAGTAGTCAGGAGGTCCACCAGCTCTCCACCGTGTGTAGGCATGAGAAAAAGGCTGCACACACAGGGCCAGGTATGTGGCTTTTCTGGGGAAAGGGTGATTGGATTGCAAAAGGAAGCATGATTAAAGGCTGTGTTTACAAACCAGAGCAGTGGCAAGAAGGTGGGAAGCCACAGCAGGCCATATCCAGTCAATCCCTCGGGGACTGGTATCTCGGTGTTCCTTGCTGCCTGCTGTCTGTGCATGGTGCTTCCATCCCTTCTTTTATGAGCACTGTCTATACCTCATAGATCTCTGATGCTCATCCTAAATTCTCTCTTTCTTGGTGTCGTCCTTTTACTTCTAGCTACACTTCCTCATAACCCACAAACTAATCCCTTTCCTTCCTTGGGTATTAAAGCAGCTACAAACTTGTGGAGGGTGTATCATGTCTCTTCTTTCTGCACCTCAGTTAGCTGGGTTTGTTTGTTTGTTTGTTTTTACTTCCGTTTTATGTATTTAGCTCTTTCTTTATAAGACAACCCCTCTCACTTCCTGCTGCTATGGGCTGTAGGTATATGATCCAGCATGCCTGGATTCTAGGACTCTGAACTGCGCTGTGGACATCCTTGGATTACTGGTTTGTTTTCCACAGCACTGAACACTAGTGTCAGCTTAGCTTTCCTTTCATACATGCGGTGATTTGGAGTCTGGAGGAGGTGACCTCGTTTTGCATATGTTCTCTCCAAGTCTCTGTCCGTTCCGTCCAGTTTATCATAGTATCAAGAGCATGAAATTCTCTCCTACGTGCAGAGTATTCTTAGATGGTAAGGGGAAGGATTCCCAGCTGTGCAGCTCACCCACTCCATCCACTTGCCAGAAGCAGTATGTACCGGCTTTCGGGCTATGGTGCACAGCTTACGTTTTTCACACAAACATTTATGTGTTGGTTTGCCGTCTGGTGGGATAAAGGGGTGACGGTTGCAGCTGCTCTGTGTGGGTGGTACTAGCTGGTGTCTTTAATATACCCAGTAAGGGGCATGGATTAAATGCATTATTAATACAAAAACTTCTCCACTCTGCTACATCTTCTTTCTAACGGATGTTGCCGTTGCACGGATGTTGCTGTTGCATGCACTGTCAGTTTGAGTTTCTTATAACATGCCTCTTGATTCTGAAATCCCTTTGATTAACAGCAAACCCTCTGCCTATTCCATACTGAACCTGCTTTCTGAGTGCGTGTGATCTTCTTTGTCTCAGGCGGCCTAGGGGATACCCAGTTTAGCTTCCGCCTTCGTCAGTCGGGGGGGCAGAGGACCACTCATTTTGGGGATGATGGCGAGTATAACAGAGAAGCCCCCCTAACACTACAGGTCAGTTATCGCTCAGCACACAGGTTTCACCCACAACATGGGCATTATTATTTATGGGTTTAAAATGGGAAAATATGTATACGAATTTAGTTTTGCTAGAAATAACTCTTCTGCTCTTCCAGTGTTTGCCCCAGGCCCTAAGGACAATCATAGAGGGGTGAGCTTTCTTTTCAGCACAGGAATTCCCATTTGTGATCATGTTAGCAGTGGGGTACACTACAAAGGACTTTAACCTCTTGGAGAGAATAAAGCCTTGAGTGTTGGAAGGAGCCAAGCTAGAGCGGTGGTGCCATCATGTTATAAAGACTGATGTGCCCACATGCTGCTCAGCCCATTTCGCATAGAGAAGGCGAGCCTGTCCAGGTACCGACTTTCCTACCAGAGCAGGATGCCATCGCACCAGCTTTTGTCCTCTCCTTCCTTGCCGTCTTGAGTGGTGGAGCACTTTGTAAAAACCTCTTGAGTTTATAGAAGCATAGAAAATAAGGGTTAGAAGGGAACTCAGGAGGTGACATCTAGTGCAATCCCCTGCTCAGAGCAGGACTAGCCCCAGCTAGATTATCCCAGCCAAGGCTTTGTTGAGCCTGGCCTTAAAAACCTCCAAGGATGGAGACTGCACCATCTCTCTAGGTAACCTGTTCCAGTGCTTCATCACCCTCCTAGTGAGAGATTTTTTTTCTAATATCCAACCAAAACTTCCCTTGCTGCAACTTGAGACCAGCCATGACATGCTTTGAGGAGTGGTTTGTAGCGATGCTGGTGCAAAAGGAAGTGATTGTCCTTCTTCCTGAATCCTGAGCTTTTCTCTGCACTCAGAAGTCTCACAACACACAACAGCTGTGTTGCTGTCCAGTCCTCAGGAGAAGGAGGCCTTCTCTCTCAGTGGCTGTCTCACCAGGTGCTACAGAAAGGGCAAAGCAAAGCAGCCAGAAAGCCAGATGTTGCTGCTGGAAAAAGGAGCAGCTGAAAAATGTGCTAAATACTTTGCTCACTGGGAGGGGCTCTAACGCCCCAAAAAAGAGAAGGGGTCTGGATTGTAGTGCAAGTAACTGGAGCCCATTGCTACCCTGGTGCAGTCTGGGGGAGTTTAGAGCTGCGAATTTGAAACGGCACATGGGGGTTTTCAACCAATACCCCCAAGGTTTCCTTGGATTACAAGCTCTGTCCTGTGTAGAGCCTAAAAGGCATTGCTGTAAGGCTGTAAGCAGACATCTTATTTGATGCAGGCCTGATTGTCCCAGGCTTTGACCAGGGTCATAGGATCGTAGAAAATGAGGGTTGGAAGGGACCTCAGGAGGTCACATCTAGTCCAACCCCTGCTCAAAAGCAGGACCAGCTCCAGCTAGATCATCCCAGACAAGGCTTTGTTGAGCCTGGCCTTACAAACCTCCAAGCATGGAGACTCCACCACCTCTCTGGGGAGCCTGTTCCAGTGCTTCACCACCCTCCTAGTGAGAGAGTTTTTCCTAATAATCAGCCGGTACTTCCCTGGCTGCAACTGGAGCCCATTGCTCCTTGTCCTGTCATCTGTCACTACTAAGAACAGTCCAGCTCCATCCTCTTTCAAACCCCGCTTCAGGTAGTTGAAAGCTGCTATTAAATCCCCCCTCAGGCCTTTCGTCTCCAGACTAAATCAATCCAGTTCCCTCAGCCTCTCCTCACAAGTCATGTGCCTCTGCCCCTGAACTGTTTTCATTGCCCTCCATTGGACTGTCTCCAATTTGTCTGCATGCTTTCTGTAGTGGGGGGCCCACAACTGGACGCTGGACTCCAGATGTGGCCTCCCCAGGGCTGAATAGAGGGGTA